AAGCCAATAGAATAAAAGGGAGTAGCACAGCTAAGGAAAAGGGGAAAAAAATGGCGGACTGCGTTGTTTGGCGACCCCCGTGAAATGGTCGTTCAAACCCAAATGGGGTCCCAACCCACAGGTTGAGAACCACTGGTTTATGCACTAATAGGCACTTCTGATTTCTTTGCCCAAGGAGATTTTAGGATTTCAGATCTTAAGAGTTGGAAAGGATCCTTTGGGACATTGAGATAGTTCAGGGAGCCAAATGAAAATATTGTCAAGAGATGGCTGTCAGAACTTATTTTGAATGCAATCTATAGGTTTTTAATTTGAACACAACACAAGATAAAAGCAACCATTTCTCTGGGTAACTGAGAAATGGGTGACTCCTCTATTGAACTTTTTTCACTGTTGAAAGGTTTTGTTCTTGTATTCAATCAGAATCTGCTTTCCTATAATTTAAGTCCATCATTCTGTGTCCTCCATCTTGGCTAGTGAAAAGAAAGTCTTAACCATCTTCTGTACAACATCCTTCAGGGTATTTGAGAAATGTAGTCATATTCCCCATCAGCAATCTTGCATTTTCAGAAATGTTGAAATCTTTAATCTTTTGTTTAATTGATAAGAACAAAGCCAATATTTCAAGTTTTGTTATACTCTGTTATTTTTCAGGTCATGCATAAGAATCTTTGGAAGATTATTTTTCTCAATCTCATAGCACATGTGAAAAAAATAAAGATCTTCAGTATAGTTTCAGTAATGTTTTGGGATAAGATCTTGCAATTGTTTTTCTACAAAGATGCTCTTTAAATCCTTTTTAAAAATAATACTGGTTGCTCCACTGTTGATATTCATTATATTTGAAATTTCATTTTTTTCTTTGAATTTATTACTGTGACATGAGAATTAAATATGTAATTGAAAAAAAAAGAATAATTACCTTAAAATCAGATATATGATATGTGCATGGAGACAGCAAGAAAGAGGAAGGGCAAAGAGCAAATCTACATGGGTTGGCCTTTTGTGATTGCCACCTGACTTATAAATCAATAATTTTACTCTTATCCAATCACAGTTATTTGAGAGGGAAAATAAAGTCACTGATGAGAAAATTAGCATATAAGATAAGTTCACATTTGCTAAGTATATATCTTTAGACATCACAGGTCCAATAATGAGCTATCATAAGTTTCTTTTGTCAGGACTCTGTAGGTATGCACACTTATAATATGATTCCATTTTAGAGGAAGGAACATTTATTTCATAGCTTTTAGAAATGTGCTCTTTATAAGGAAGAACAAGGCCACTGTGGGGTGTCTCTCACAGAATTGAAGTTACAGACGTTGTGAAATGAATAATGAGGTTTCCAAAAGGAATGAATTCCCATTCGTTTAAAACTGCAAACTGCCAGATCTCAACCTCTACATCCTTTGTACAGTACAGTAGATGCAGCAAACAGTAGAGCTGGGGTGACTCAATAGCAAGTTGTGTGTGGGAGAACCAGACAGGTCTGAATCACCAGTTTATCTTTGAATCACCATTAGTGTCATGTAAAACCGCACTTGCATAAACCCAAACCTGCTGTTGAAAACCCATGTTATGCATTTGCAAACTGGTTTGCACAAAGTGCACCATTTTTTTGTACAAACAGATGATGACCTGTTTAGACAGGTAATTTAAGACATCAGTGAATTCCAAACATTTTCCATGGGTTTGACAAGCAAGGTCTAATTTCACAATTCTAGTTCTTTCTTGCTTAATGGATGTTCTTGCTAACTACCTTATTTCTAGCTGGAAAAAAAAAAGCAGAAATAAAGTACAGTGACTTTATAGTAGGCAAATGTTGTTGAAAAAAGTGCCAGATGAATCACAAACCTGTAACAGTTAGGTGGAAAGTGTGAGGAAAAAAAAGGGAATGCATATTATAGCAGATTTTTTTTTTATCTGACAAATAGAAAATAACTAATTACTTGTTCGTAACTTTTTTATAAATGGCACATTCATGAAAGTGACTTCCCTTTAGAAAATTCCCTTTGAATTTCCTTTCATTTGCTCAATGTACAACTTAATTAATTCAATCAAAGGTCAGTCCTTTAAGACAGAGATCCCCAATCCTTTGGGCACCAGGGACCGGTTCTGTGGAGAGAGGTTTTTCCCCGGACCAGAGGGTGCGTGGTTTCGTGTGCTGCCTGAATCTTACGGATGGGGCTTTGCTTGTTTGTGCGGACTGGTTGCTGACATGCCACAGCCTGGTACTGGTCTACAAACTGGGGGTTGGGGACCCGCTTTAATACAAACATCTAGGTATAATAATGTTAATCTTTTTGTTCTCTCTAGTTTCAACAGGCATTTATTTAATGGTGTTGCATCTTAAATTTCTTAATTCCAATTCTTTCTGAAACAAAGTGTTTAAAATCCATTCTTGCTTATCAAACTTTCAGGTTGCATGCAAGAGGAACTCATACCAGTTGCCAAACATCTTTGTGGTTTTCCTTTGTTTTTTGTAGTTTTAAGGTGACCAACTTTTTTGCAATGAAAAGGAGGACACAAATAAATTGAAGAAAAAATATCGTAAATAAAAGAACCATTTTATTCATTGCAACAATAATACAGACAACTTGCATGTGCAAAGTTTGCCAGCCGGGTGTTTTGGCGCGCTCAGCAGCAATTCTTATTGGCTTTCGAAAGCCAATAGTGGGAGTAGCACAGCTCATATAAAAGTTGAAAAAAAAATATCAAAAAAAGTGCCCGAACGCCGTTCTGAGCGTTCTATGAGAGAAAAAAAAAAGCCCTGCAGATTAGTCTTCAAATATTGAAAAGGAGGACATGTAGGAGGACACTTTTCGAGGGAGGACAGAACTTATAAAAGGAGGACTGTCCTCCCTAAAGGAGGACGGTTGGTCACCTTAGACTAGTTCAGAATCAAGGAAAATAAATCAAAAGACAATATTTGGTAATTCTTAGCTTTGAAAATCTACAAAAGATCTGTATTTATTTGAAGATTGTTTCAAACTCATAGCATTTATAAAATTGTAAATTTTTGAACTGAAAATATTGGGCGCGCTCCTAGAATTATGGTTAGATTACAGGTTTTTGTTGCACATTTATAATTGGTTACTTCATGAATTATTTCCATTTTTTGGAATTTAATATCAAGCAATAATAACACAATACATATTAATTTATTAATGATATATAGTAAATATTAATAATACAAAGTAGGATACTGAGGTAAATTGGTCAATTGTGATGGTTTTTCTGTTCAGTGCATTGGAAGCAGACACTGCTGTTACTAATTAATTAAGAATGCAGTATCTTTTTTAAGTAAAAAAATGGAAGCTCTTCCAAATTTTTATATTAAGAGGTATGTTCCCCAGGAAAAATTATCTGGGATGAATGCAGAGATCAACACAGCCAAAGCTAGTCTATAATATATATGCCTATAATAAAACGGTGTTTTTTTTCCTCTATTAACCTCTTTTGTTTCTTTCTGTCATCCTCATCTCTCACATTCTCTGCCACTTGATTCATTTTTATTTTTACATTTTGCTAAAGAAAGCAGTTCCTTAAGTGGACATGCCCTCTGGCAGTGAAAAAAAAAATTGAGGCAAAGTATTGTCAGGCACCATTTCTGCTACTATGACCTAAAAAATAAATTGTAATTTATGTGGCCACTTGTTGGAGATTTTATCATTGCTATGAACCTAAGAGCTTTTTAACTACTATCAGTAAGTGAGAAATAGAGGAAGGGAGGTATTTTCACATACTGCCCACGTTTCTGTTTCTCATGCAGCCTGAAAATAAAATAAGTTTCTGTATTTGAGACAGATGAAACTTTCTCTGTCTCCCCATCTCCCTCTCCCTCTTTTGGTTTAGCTGGAGGTGTGATTTTCCCACCGTATGCATATATGTATGTATTTTTATTTATTTAATTTCTATGCGGCCCATCTGTCCTACTAAGTGATTCTGGGCAGCTTACAAATTATTTCTTAATATACCTTCTTCCTTCCCATTTAGCTAGGTACTGCAAAACGTTCAGATATATCTTAACTTCTGTGAAGAAAATGGTTAGTAACCGAGTAAAAGAAATATTTATTGCCAGTGAAAATGTTCTTTCAGTATAGTATTTGTGTGGAAAAAGCTGCAAAACTGGAAACATGGGGGGGGGAGGGGGAAGGAAAGGAAGTAGGCTAAGAGGCAGAAAAGGGGTGAGGTAGTTGTTAATGAGAGATCAGAAGAAGCCTTAAATGTTTTGGCTGGATCAAATAAAAAAAAATCTGCACTGTATTGAATTACACACGTTGATTTGAGTCTGTCAACCACACACTCACAGGTCACTAATTCCTTCTGTATGTATTCATTATTTCTGTATGTATTCATTTAAAAAATGATTCTAACATTGGGAATAATAGCTAAATTACTTTTTCTCACTCAAACAATATGAATAGGGAAAAATGTGTATGTTCTCATGGTGTGTGTGTGTGTGTGTGTGTGTGAGAGAGAGAGAGAGAGAGAGAGAGAGAGAGAGAGAGAGAGAGAGAAATATGATTCCCAATAAGTGCCTGAAGAAGAGGGCTGAGAGACAGCTGGCTTTGGGCCTAAGGTGGGAGTAAGAATTCATGGTCTCCAAACTGATGCCTGAACCATTACATAAAAACCCTCATGTTTTATAGATGCCACTCAATACCTTCTTGTAACATGCATTAAGGGAGTAGAGGGAAAGTTTGCTTGAGAAATGCCTGATTTCAGGACCATAGTTCCATGAACTTTGGAAAAAGCCTGGAATTTGTAGATCCCATCTTTTCAGTCACTAAAATCGGACCCATTTCCGACTCTGAAGTAGGGGCACGGGACAATGGAATTATTTGCAAGTGAGCACCAAGTAGAGCAGGGACTTATGGATTTCAACTCCCAGAATTCCCCAGTCACTGGCTGGGGAATTCTGGGAGTTGAAGTCCACAAGTCTTAAAGTTGCCAAGTTTGGAGACCCCTGCGGGATGGTTAACCATGTCTTGTATCAGCTACGATTTCCGAAAGGGGCAAGATCAGGGAGCGAGGCAGGCTCCTGGCCTGTGTTCTTCAGCGGGAGCCCTCTGCCCTTCTCTCGTCCTTTCGACTGGTCAGGCCTCGGGGTCAGACGTCGCGGCGGGAGACAGCCAGCCGGGCCTCGCGGTCCTTGTTTACTCCTTAACGATCGATCTCTCTTGTAGTCCTTCGCCAGAGCCAGCTCAGCTCCGGGCTGAGAAAGCCAAGCAGGGAAGCCTCCCTGTATGCCAGAGCCACCCTCCAGCCGGCCTGGGGGCCAATGACAGGTTGAGAGCTCAAGAGGGCGTTGCAGGAAAAAAATCCACTCGAGGTGACAGCCAAACTCCTCCTATCCTCACAATGCTTTGGCGTGTATTGTGGGGAACATGGCAGATGGAGATTAGAAGCGGGGCGGCTGCTGTGGCTTCGGCGACTCCTGGCTCCCGCGCCACTTGTTGGCTGCCCTTCGGTGCCCTTGCATTCGAGACGGCGAGGATGCAGTAGGGCGATTGCAGAGGATGGAGCCTTAGAAACAAGCGATCGGGTTGGTCGGGATTTTTTTTTTTAAAAAAATCACCGGATTACTTGAATGCCCGCGTGTGCGCAGCGCAGGCACGGGGAGCTCGTGGCCGTGCGCGCTTGGGATGACCCGGCCATGGAGGGGCAACGGCAGCGAGCCGGGCAGACTAGCCGCCTGCTGATGAAGACGCCCTGGACGCGACAGGGGCCCGCGGCCGGGAGCAGAGCCAGCCACTGCTGCAGGGATCGGGTGCCGCTGGCTCCCTTTGGCGGCAGCAGCAGCAGCAGCCGCAGCAGCAGTTCCCAGTTGGGACTGGGCGCCCTTCGCGTAGTAACCCCGCATTGCTCGTAATATTGCGGCTCCGCGCGAAAGGGCCGACGCTGAGGAAAGGAAGGCGCGGGCACCCAGGTCGCAGCGAGGAGGAGGAGAAGGAGGAAGAAGAGAGAAAAAGGTGAGGGTGGAGGGGAGCAGGCAGCAGCAGCAGCAGCAGCAGCAACAACAACAACCATGCTGCCCGGGGTGGGCGTGTTCGGCACCAGCCTGACCGCCCGGGTCATCATCCCGCTTCTAAAGGACGAGGGTTTCGCGGTCAAAGCGCTCTGGGGCCGCACTCAGGAAGAGGCGGAAGAGCTGGCCAAGGAGATGAGCGTCCCCTTCTACACCAGCCGGATAGACGAGGTCTTGCTGCATCAGGATGTGGATTTGGTCTGCATCAACCTGCCCCCTCCCCTGACCAGGCAGATCGCCGTGAAAACTCTGGGTGAGTCTCCATGGAGAGCGTGGCCGGCAGCGGGCGAGACTTCCGAGGGGGGGGGGGGGAGGCCGTGGAAAAAGCTGCAGCGCCTTGAACTGGAAAAGGCCTGCTTGGAAGCCAAATCCCTGGCTGCCCTAGATGCCCTCTAGAGTGCCCTTTGATTAGGTGTGGAACCTGCTCTGTCATTTATTGGAAAGAAAAAGAAAAAAGGCTCTGCACATCCTTAGGGGCACAGGCTCAGTTTTTATTACTGCTTGTGTGACAGGGCCTTTCTTTCCATTGATAAGCCCTAAATCTGAGTACTTCTCCATATCAAATCCCAGATGTTTAACTAGTGCTTCAAAAGTCTTTTCTTGTATACAGGGGTGTAACTTTTGAATGCATTAAAGTGCCAAGCGAAGGCCCTCTTCATATGTTTTAGAGGTGTTCTTATAATCCTGGGCACTGAAAACAGGTTGCATTAGAAACTGTCAGAGTGACTAAATAGGGGAATATAAACCTGCACAGAATTCTTCAACTAAACTGACGGTTTGCCCACATTTTTTGTATTCCTGGTGTTTTTCCTCCTGGCCAGGGTAGCCTTTACATTCCTCATTGATTTCTTATCTTCTGTGACTGAATTAACATTTTTGTATCAAATCATTCTTTGAGAACTTTAGTTCTGTGCACTTGGTCAGCCCATTTTACTCAAACAATTCAAAATTAAGAGTTCCAGCTGTTTTCCTTCTGAAATTCTTATATCTACCTGGTGCTCCATGGTGTATGATCAGAGAATAATAGGACTGGGTTTTGATATGCCCAGTATTGAGTTTCACTTGCTCAAGCTACAAAGGCAGATAGAAAGTGGCTTAAAATATCTAAAGCCTATCTGATTCTAAATTAATATTTTCCCCCTTTGGAATGGGTTTGTGTGTTCATTTTGAATTGAATATAATTAGCTTTTCTGACTACTCACCCCTGCTTTTTTGAAAAATGTTTGGTAGGAAATAAACCTTAAACCTACTGATTCCCTAATTAAGTTAGTGTTTTTCAAATACCTTGTAGACCAGGTATATAGACCACCAGCTGCATATGGTCCTGGACAGCTAGTAAGGTAGCCCAAAAAATAATAAAAATATATATTAAAAAAAGAACTTTGCTACTTATATATATAACTATATTATCTATTTTATATGTAGCCCAAGACAATTCCTCTTCAATCCATGTGTCCCAAGCAAGTCAGATGGTTGAACAATCATGCCATAGACCTTTCCATTGCTACCCTTTTATTTTTGTCAAATATAAGAGACAATAGTCTTAAAAAAATTGATGGGCAACGTAATCATTGCACTTAATTACCCTCTATTGCTAAAATTTATTATAAATAAAGCATTGTTATTTACAGTGTAAACATCTACAAGACAAGGATGTTGTCTTGTATAAAGAGCCAGTGTTAAATTTCTATTTGAATTTATGGAAGTTATTTTTCTACGGGAAAGTGATATAGCTTTGTGTTAAAGCCATACTTTGACTGCAACAGATCCTACTTTCAATATCTAGCATTCCCAGGTAAGGATGGAGAAAATTACTTTATAAAATCTTGGAGATCTGCAATCAGTGTAGATCAGTATTTCCCAAATAAAATGTATTCCAGAAGTATTAGATTGCAACTCTTATCAATTGGCTCCTCTTCATTTCCAGTGGTATTGTTCTTTTTTTTTTTAAAAAAAAAATCTCAGCAAGAAAAACAGTAGCATTTTCATATTGTCTGGAGATGTTGGGGTTACAGTTCCACCTATCTGGAGAGCAACCAGACTGGAGAAAGTTCGTTTAGACAAGAGTTAAGAATCATGATTTACTTTAGAATTTTTAAACATTTTCATAGTTTTTCAAAGGCAAAAACTGTTTTTAATGATTCACAAAAATAAAATAGCATGTAAACATTACACAAGCATAATCATGAAGAATTTGACCCACAATGATACTGACCCATAATAATTAGTTTTGTATTCCTTCTTAGACTGCATAAATGTATATACAATGAAACCTTAATTTAACACAGATCAAGGGAGAGGGAGGGTGAGTCCGTTATTCCCAAGTGTCTATTAAATCACAAATCATGTCATTTATTATGATTTATATTATTTTCATAATATAAATGAAGCAGATTATGTTATTTCAGTTTGCATTGTTTTAGGAACCCTGTCATTTGGCAAATTGCATAAATTATGAATGATGTAAAATTATCATAAAATATTAAGTTGCATTGGACTTGATTGTTACTTCAGGGCCTGTCCAGAAAAAAAACCTTAGTCTGTTGCATAAAAAGGGGTCCATTAAATTGAAGTTTGTTCTCTTGTGTGTTCAAATAGAATGGCACTATATGAAAATGTGATGGAATAGAATTTTTCTATTTTTATAAAAAAAATATCTTTAGATATTTTTCAGCAGTGTTACATTTTGTTTAAATTGCCAAAACAAAGTTTTTTCTGAGTTGCATACCTGCTGCAGTTGCATAAAAAAGAAGTGTCTTCACTTCTGCTTTTCAGACCAATGCAACAGCTGTTTCAAGTTCAGAGGAAGATAAGACAGGAACCAAAGTTGGTCCTCAGACATGTAGCCTGACACAAAAGAGAAAAACAAAATATATTTTACTACTTTTCCAAATCCCCCTTTATAACAGGTTTCTAGTGATTCATCTCTTTTGTTATTTTGCTGCTAGAGAGAAAGAACTGAAGTGGGAGCCCCATTTGCTAGGTTATCATTTCTCTTTATAAAATCCTAGATTTTCCCCAAGCAGATACTATTTAGGTGTGTTAAGAAGGAACAAAGTGAGTAGCATATTGGGGATGATAGGAATTATAGTCTATGTCAGTGGTTCTCAACCTGTGGGTTGGGACCCCATTTGGGGTTGAATGACCATTTCACGGGGGTCGCCAAACCACGCTGTCCGCCATCTTTTCCCCTTTTCCCTAGCTGTCCTACTCCCTCTTATTGGTGGCCACACCCACTTGGGGGTCACCACAATATGGGGAACTGTATTACGGGGTCACGGCATTAGAAAGGTTGAGAACCACTGGTCTATGTGGGTCGCGACCCCATTTGGGGTCGAACGACCATTTCACAGGGGTCGCCAAACAACGCAGTTTGCCATTTTTTCCCCCTTTTCCTTAGCTGTGCTACTCCCTTTTATTCTATTGGCTTTGAAAGCCAATAGAATAGACTCTCTTGATTAGAGTCTAATTCTATTGGCTTTCAAAAGCCAATAGGAATTGTCCAGGCTGTCTCTGCCCTGCTGAGCCCGCCAAAAGTCCCATTCTGCAAACGATGCTGCAAGTTGTCTGCAGCGAAGGCGAGCTGTCTGGAAGTTTCCACCCCTCCCTGCTGAGCAACTACTAAAAATGTAAGTAAAAGAGGGCCAGGGGTGGGAAGTGGGAGGCTGGCGGGCGCAGGGAGGGTTGCTGGCATGCGTGGGGCCTGGTGGGTGCCTTACCTCCCTTGGGCTGGGCCAGCTGGTGGCCCAGCCGGTGGTCAGCCTGCTCCGTCTCTGCCCCGTGCCAGCTATGCCTCGGCCGGTGCAAGGGTGGTGCTCCCGGGCAGGGAAAGTCCTCGATGTACGACCGGTTGGGTAGTCCTCGACTTATGACTGGTTGGGTAGTCCTCAACTTACGACTGGTTAGGTAGTCCTCGACTTACGACCGGTTGTGGTCGCGGCATTAAAAAGGTTGAGAACCACTGGTCTAGTCTCTAGTGTCTCTGAAAGATGCTGTTAAATGTTGAAGATTTCCAGTGAGAAATGTGTGTCTCTCTTTAAAGAAGCAACTGATTGCTTCCATTATATTAGTGACTAATTCAATCAGGGATTCCTTGAAGTTAAGCAAAGCTGTTGAGGAAACCACTTCAATGATACTGAAAGGCATGCATATTTTATACCACAAGACATCAAATTTGACACAATTGACAATTGGAATATATATATATATATAGTCATGCAATTAAGACACATTATATACTATGCTGAATACCTGTATATTGAAAAGCTCTACTAAATATTAGTGTATGTTTTCCCCCCTGGTAATATGATTAATATAAAGATATAAAAATGTAAAATATATATTATATAAGAATTATATACAAATAATTTTAATGTTTTGTGGGGAATGTTGATTAATGTTATATTTGGCTTTTCTTTTGTTCTAATAAATGGTAAACAAATCTGGGATTTCATGGTTTTCTGAAAAATTTTGTGGATGGTTTATTTCTCTATAATTGCTTTTAAATTACTTTAAATTTTAAATTAATTCATTCCTAAACATTATACTTTGTTCTTTTTAAAAAACAGGTAGACGTGACATCCTTCCCCTCAAAATCTCTTCATAAGTATTTTTTAATATTAACTATTAATTAGTTTCACTCAGCTTTGAGAAGTCTGCTATTTTACTGTCTAAAATATGGCTCGGGAACATACTTGAATGAAATATTTGCCCTTTGTAGCCTGGATCCCATGTATCCTGGAGAAAATTTTATTCATCTTACTAACGCTTTGTGTTTTTTTTGTTCTCAGATCTTCAGCCCTTGTGTATTTGGTTCCTGAGCAAATGTTTATTTTATTTTGTTTTATTTTTCATATTTCTAAATTGACTCTTTCTTTCAAAGAAGAGCTCTTTTCAGTTTTAAATGTAGCATCAAAGAAAATACTGGTTCTAGACCTAGAGGGTTTTCTCCATTTTTAACAGGTTGTTTTAATATTAGCATAAATATAGACATGAAGGAAATATCCAGAGATTGTTCTAAACAGACATGTTGGTAAAACCCAGGGCTTTTTTTCTCATAGAATGCCCAGAACAGAGTTCTGGCACCTTTTTTGGATGGAACCTTGTAAGGTAGGCAAGGTGGGTTGTATGATGTGTGTGACTTCCGGCACCTTTTTTTTTTTTTTTTAGAAAAAAAGCACTGGTAAAACCTATGCCCGGCATATTGAAGATTCCAGATTGAATCCCCGCCATTTATAGAAAAATTTGGGCAAG